AGCAGAAGTGAAAGGCATTAGTGATCAGAAAAATATTTTTATTAAGTAGATAGAAATATGACTGTATGTTATTATGTCGTTATTAAACAAAGGCAACTCCTCTTTGGAAAGATATATATTCTTCTGGCGAATGAAAATATACATTAATTGCCATTGACCTATTCATTCATTTCTGCAAAAATGAAATAAATGCCAGTCACCCTTGATATTACTGGTTTTTCTATCTTTGTATGAAATCCAGGCCCTTGAAAGTAAAATGAAGTCGCTGAGTTCATGTTTTAAATTTTGTAGTCTTTCTTTTCCCTGAGCTTTATGCAAATAAGGAGCCTTGGTCATGCAGTGATTATACACTCGGTTGCTAACCAAAAGGTCAAAGGTTGAAACCTACCAGCCGTTCTGCAGGAGAAAGATCTGGCAATATATTTTCTTAAAGATTATTACAGCCTTGGAAACCCTATGGGGCAGTTCTGGTCTGTCCTACAGGGTCACTATGAGTCAGAATCAGCTCATCGGCACACAACAATAACATTATGCAGATAGCAGAGGTGAAGAAGATCTCTTTTAACTTGAAAATTTTTCTGCATTTGGAAAAAACCTTTATAAAGGGCCTTTACCATAAAACTTATTTCTACTGCTAATTATTTAGTTATCAATTATTTCTGACAAAATATAATGTGGCAGCTCTGTGATCTGCAAAGGTTGTTATGAAGTTGTTAGGTGGCAACAGAAATGCCTGCTGTTTAAGAGGCTTAGCACTTGGTTCTGAAATTGCTTAGATAAACTTGTTAAGCTAAAATGATAAAATCAAGTTTTTAAATAGACTTTGCCGTTCACAGTTAACATTTTAAACACTGCTTGAATAAGATGGTCAAACTAAATATGATTGATGTACTTTAAAAAAATCGCCTTCCAGCAAACTTTCTTAAGTAGCCTGCATCCTAAAATGTAAATTACATATTTATGGAATATTTTTGCTCTCAAATTGTGGATCTTCCTTTGGGAAATAAAAGTTTGTGCTAATACCAGGGTCTTGGAAGCACCTTTCCCTAGATACTGTTTGTGTGCTTAGTGACACATTCATATATCAGATGGGGTGGAAGGAATCAAAGGTGTTCACCCCAAGGCTTGATCAAGTACAATATAGATATTTATTGGATTTATAGAAAGTGTTGGAAAAGAAACAAAATGTGTAGGAAGTTCATTTGTAGCTTGGTTTACTTTTGGAACAAGATAGAAAAAGCCAAATAAAGTTAATTTTATTAAATGGTTAAGGCAGTTTATTTCTAAGTGCACAGTGAGTGTCATCCTTAGTTTGGTGCCATTTAATCAGCTTCCTCCTTATACATACCCAAAACCAAACCCATTGCCATTGAGTCAATTCCGACTCGTAGCGACCCAAGAGGACAGAGTAGAACTGCCCCACAGGGTTCCCAGGGAGCGCTGGTGGATTCAAACTGCCGGCCCTTTGGTTAGCAGCCATACCTCTTAAACACGGCACCACCAGGGCTCCTCTTGTACATAGAGAAGAGCCCATAAGGTCTCCCTTCTGGTCTAAAGTTTCTTCTGATAGCCGTTTGGTCTTCCTAATACTATGACTTTAGTTATAGTTTTAATAATAGTTACTTGTAACACTTTGTGACTTGCCATAAAAACCTGCTGCCATCGAATAGATTTTGACTCATGGTGACACTATACGACAGAGTAGAACTGCCCCATAGGGTTTCCTAGACTGTGATCTTTACCGAAGCAGACTGCCACATCTTTCTTCCATGAGAGGGGCTGGTGGGTTTGATCCATTGACCTTTCAGTTAGCTCTTATAAAATGTTTTGCTGTGGCCTTGTAAGCGACAGTAAATGAATGAATGAACAAACAGCAAGCATTGAGGAAAGTCTTATCTCCATCTCAAGATGTATTTAGAATCAGTTAATTGGTTTGGAAATGGAGCAGATATAAGGTCAAGAAACGACTTAATTGAGCTATGATACCTTATTAATGCCATTATTAGGGGAGTACTCTAGGGCAGTGGTTCTTACTTTCAGGTAGGTTGGTATGCACATCAGAATCCCTGGGAAGCAAAAAATAGTGTGTAGGATCCTGTGCCCTATCTCCAGAATTCACACAAGAATCCTCAGTAGCTTAGGAGACAAGCAAGTCTGTGCGGTTTCTTAATTATCCTCTGTCTCCCATAGTGAGTAATTTCATAAATAATTTTTTTCATTATTCACATTAACAAAGCTGACACTTAACTTTGAGTCATACTTGAAAAAATAGCTAAAAGGGATAAAGATTGAAGAACAGAATAAAGATCCAGGGTATTCACTGAGTTAATAAATTAGAGCTCGTGGTGTTTGAAAGTTGAAAGAAAATTTTCTTTCTCTTCATAGTGGAACTCCAGAATAGCTTTTTTTTGTGACCAGCAAAATCTAACTTAATATGTTATTGTCATAGCAGAACAGAGCAGATGGACACTTTTAAAAGGTTGTGGACCTGTGATTTAAAAAAAAAAACCTGTTGCCATTGAGTCGATTCCAACTCACGGTGACCCTATAGGACAGAGTAGTACTACCATATAGGATTTCCAAGGCTATAATCTTTACAGAAGGAGACTGCCACATCTTTCTCTTGCAGAGCAGCTGGTGGGTTCAAACTGCCAACCTTTTGGTTTGCAGCCAAGCACTTAACCACTGTACCATACAGATGGAAGTGTAAACAAAAAAAAAAAATTTTTTTTCAAATATTTAAATTACATTATTGTAATGACATTGTACTGATCTCTGGGAAATTTATAGTTCTTATCTTCAAACCTCTTATACTCTAGAAGAAATACATGAAAACAGGTGCAAAAGCATGTCGTTCAGTATTTTGGCTTATAATTTTGGGGTCAGTTTTTATCGATGATGAAGATGAGATGGATTGGTGAAAATGGTAGAAACCAAAGGAAAATCAAAGAGGAGGAATTTAATATATTAAAGGAATAAATTGGGTAGTTTCCTCAGAATGTAATAATTGCCGGAGGAAATGAAAGGAACTGCTTAAATAGGTGGCCAGGGAGACATGCTGAAAAAGAAAGCAAATTCTTAGAGATCTGCTCTCCTCTGTCCACATTATTCAACCATTTAAGCCCTGTTGCTTTTGACAATCATAACCAATTTAGTTGTATTAATATCGATTGCCTGTATAACAGTTTTGTTAATCTGAGATCTCTTAAGTATTTTATTACCAAGTTGCATAGCTTAGAAATACCTCAAGAGTCTAGCATGTACATAACAAAATAGAACTACTAGAAGCCTGATTGTTCGCAAGTCATACCAAGATTCCAGCAGTTGTGGCTTTGTCAGGCAGCTTGCATCTGTTTAGTCATTAAAGAAAAAAAAAAAAAAAAAGAGGAAGAAATTGTGTTTATTCGTGTGACTAAGAAGTGTCACCTCTACAGAGCAGTTCTACTCTGTCCTATAGGGTCGCTATTAAAAAATAAAAAAATATATTTTCTATTCTAGCTCATAAAATATATCAATTTGGAGTGATAGTTTATGTAATTTTATGTTATCAGAATGCTACAACTTCTAATACAAATAATTTCTAAAGCTATATGTTGAAACTGTAGTTGATATATGCATATTGAAGTAGTATTTTCATTTAATGATTAATTTGTATTATATCTAAAGATAATGACTTGATACAGTAAACAACAATTTCACATGTGTAGTAGTTACACAATAAGTACTAATTGGCTTGATTGTCAAATTTTAAACCAATTATTTTAAATTGGGAATGGCACTTACTATATGTGTCAGGAATGGTTTTGAATTTTTTCTCCCATTAATGTTCACAACAGTCTTACCTATGAAGTAAGAATTAGTTTTACAGATGAGGGAACTGAGGCACAGATAGGCTGAGTACTTTAAAGTCACATCATAAGCCATAAATGTCAAACCTAGGAGTTGAACCCAGGGATTCTGTTTTCAGTCTGTACTCCTAACCATTGCACTATACTGCCTCTCTTAATTAAATGAGAATACATACTAAATTAATGAAGTCAGATATTAAAGGGAATGAAATGAATCTGCCAGCTTGTCTGATATCTTTCTAAATCTCCTGGGTGAGTTTAGGAATTTGGATGATTAGCAAGGTCTGGGACCTACTATACTAGCATATAAGTTCTTGAGGATCAAAGGCATATGGGAGTTTATTGAAAGCTGTTGAATGATTGGTTAAATAAAGAAATTTTACACGATGTCTTTGAAAAGACATTTTAATTTACGTCTTTATCAATTTATCAACTTAAATTATTACATTTGGTAGCACATTACAAGCTGCCTGAAATTCTAGTCAAAGAATAAAAACAAATGCAATCAAGACAGAATTCAAATTCAAACAAAAGATACATTTTGAAGCAAAGAAGAAGAAACATTTATTGTAGCTGGAAGCCTTACTAATTCTAATTCTGATGAATTATGAAAGGGATTAATTTCTATTAGTTCAGAACTCTACAGTCTAAATCAGGTATCTTAACCTGGGTCCATAAATGGACCCATGAACCCCTGAATTTTTATACAAAGTTATATTTATGGACAATTTCCTTGAAAAAAGGACCACAGTTTTCACCAATTTCTCAAAGGAATCCATGTTCCAAGAAAAGCTTAAGAACCACTGATCCTTATCCATATCTATATACCACTGTGATAAAGCACTTGATCCAAGTTTAATTCTTATGACTGACGTTAATTGTCTATTTCTAGTTTCTAAGATCGGCCATCCAGGAATTGAAAGATTAAGCCATATCAAGGCATTATTGTTAATAATGTTAGCAGTAGTGGGTATATGAAAGCCACTCTCCTTTTCTAGCATGTTGATTTGGTGTAAAAAATAACTGCTTATGATGATCCATATGAATAGGATGGGATATACGTTTAAGTGATCTCTAGTTCCTCTGATTGTAATTTTAATAAATTATGGGGTTTTTTTCTCTCTCTTTTTATTCTGTGTGATTACAAACCAGTGAGTATAGCTGATCCTGCTGCCCTTGGCTTCATTATTTCTCCATGGTCTCTGCTGTTGCTGCCATCTGGTAGTGTGTCATTTACGGATGGAAATATTTCCCATCAGGATCTTCGAGCATTCACTGCACCAGAGGTTCTTCAAAATCAATCACTAACTTCTCTCTCAGATGTTGAAAAGGTAACTGTTAAGTCTTTTTTTATTGGTTTTTGCTTTTGTTTCTTTGGTGTGGGGTAGGGAAAGTAAAGAAACTGGGCCACCCTATCTCAACCCTGTGGGAAAAAAAATTCATTTATTTTAATGTGATCATGTATTCCAAGAAGTTCACGTTTATTTTAAGAGTTCAGAAAATAGTTTTATAAATGTTTCTGGAGCTGACAAAACATATGATAAATACAATCTGTTATTAATTTATTTTTACAAATACTTATTGAATGCTGTGTATAAAATACTGTGCTCATGAAGGTGATACAGAAGTAATCAGAAAATTGTCCCTGGTCAACATGTATGTTACAATCTATAATGCATATATTGTTACATAATATGTAGATCTATAATATATGACAGAATGAAATAAATGTAAGAGAAGATAAATTGTTTTCAAAGCCTAGAAGATATACAATTAATTTTAGTATTGAAAGATATCAAAGAGACAGCATTTGCAATGGGCTTTGAAGAATAAGTAGAATTTAGATCAGTGAAAATAGAACAGGCATTCCCATCAGGATTTTTAATAATGTGTAATGATAAGACATAAGAAATTGCCCGCAGTGATTGGGGAATAGGGTCAGACCAGTATTAGGTTCCTGGAAGGTGTTGGTCAGAATGAAGGCGGGTTTGCCGGGACTTGAGACTTTCTTCTGAGGCAGTGGGGATCAATCATATTTTATGAAAATGATATGATGTGATTTGTAATTTCATAAGTTAAGTGTAACATAGGTAACTACCCAAACCTATTGCCGTTAAGTTGATTCCGACACACTCCAATTAGATTCCCACACCATTCCTACTTATCTACTCACATGAGTCTGAGTAGATAACTAAGGGAGATAAAAGACTGTGTGGGAATCTAACTGGAGTGTTTTAATAGTCTGGTCAAAGAACTGAAAATAGTGTACACTTACTCCTCACAGGGATCAGTCCCTGGAGAAGGACATCATGCTTGGTAAGGTACAGGGTCAGCAAAAAAGAGGAAGACCCTCAACGACATGGATTGACACAATGGCTGCAACAGTGTGCTCAAGCATAACAATGATTATGAGGATAGCACAAGACTGGGCAGTGTTTCGTTCTGTTGTACATAGTTGCTGTGAGTTGGAACCGACTCGACAGCGCCTAACAACAACAACTACTCCCTTATCAACTATCTTGTTATCCAACATTTTGCATTTACAACAATAATAAAAGAATCTACTGTCCAACTATTTTGCATATTAACAATAAACATCTAGCAGTAACAAACACCAAGGTGTGAGGCAAGAGTAATGCTGGCTGTGATGGTTAAGGTTATGTGTGAATTTGGCTGGGCTGTGATTCCCAGTGGTTTGGCAGTTATGTAATGATGTAATTTGACAGTTATGTAATGTTGTAGTCATCCTCCATTTTGTGATCTGGTGTGGTCATCCTTCATTTTTGCATAACACTGATCTTCACATAACGACCTGTTCCTTCTCAATAAGTGAAGAGTAGGTGTAATGCCTTGGGAATATAGGAGTGGATAAAGGAGATACAGTGGAGATGAAACTAACAGTTTGACAGTTCATTTTATGGGACAGTGAAGGAGAGGGAAACATTTTTGATAGAAATATCCGATCTTAGTATAAAGATGCCATTGACTTAAGAAAATCTAACTTCATAGGCAAGGCTATGAGAGAAAGAAAATTGGACAAATACATATTGTGCTCTGTAGCAGGCTGTGGGTAATTTAGATATGAAACTTTGGAGAATTTAGAATTGGCTATGAACATCCTTTTCCATACACCGTTCCACATAAATGTGGAAATTCACTGTCTAATAATTTCCTAATAGTTAAATTGTTAATCAAGAAGCATGTGCATTCTAAATTTTGATACATCCAAAGAAACTGTTGAATTTATCCTTCTGTAGACAAAGCATAAGAATGTTTCCCTTTTCAGAGATTGAGTTGCTATGTGTGTGTGATGATTCAGCTGGAGAAAAACATGTTGATTTGAGCCATCAATTGTGTATCAAAAAACACTGAGAGAAACTGGTGTAATGAATGCAGGTTTATCTACTTTTTATATTCCATGAGATCCTTCTATAGAATCTTTGATCAAAATTTTGATCAAATCACTAAGAAGTACCAGCAAGCAGTGAAGGGAGACAATCAGTGACTATAAGGTAGAGATAACGAACTGCCAATGTATAAGGCATTGTTGTTTTTGTTAGACACCTTCAAATTGGTTACTACTCTTAGCGACCCAGTGTACAATAGAATGAAACACTACCTGGTCCTGCCCCATCCTCACATTCGTTGCTATGTTTGAGCCCATTGTTGCAGCCACTGTGTCAATCTGTCTTGTTGAGGGTCTTCCTCTTTTTCACTCACCGTCTCCTTTACCAAGCATGATGTCCTTCTCCAGTGACTGGTCCCTCGTAATAACCTATCCAAAGTACATGAGACAAAGACACGCCATCCTTGCTTCTAAGGAGCATTCTGGCTGTACTTCTTCCAAGATAGATTAGTTTGTTCTTCTGGCTTTGTTATTGTTAGGTGATGTCGAGTCAGTTCCTACTCATAGCGACCCTATATACAACAGAACGAAACACTGCCTGGTCTTGCGCCATCCTCATGATTGTTGTTATTCATGAGCCCATTGTTACAGCCACTGTGTCAATCCACATTGTTGAGGGTCTTCCTCTTTTTTGCTGACCCTCTACTTCACCAAGCAAGCATGATGTCATTTCTCCAGGAACTGATCTCTCCTGATAACATGTCCAAAGTATGTGAGACGAAGTGTCACCATCCTCACTTCTAAGCAGCATGCTGGCTGTACTTCTTCCAAGAGAGATTTGTTCGCTCTTTTGGCAGTCCATGGTGTATTCAGTATTCTTCGCCAGCACCATAATTTAAAGCCATCAGTTCTTCTTCGGTCTTCCTTATTCATTGTCTAGCTTTTGCGTGTTTATGAGGCAAACACCATGGCTTGGGTCAGGCACACCTTAGTACTTAAAGTGACATTTTCATTTTTTAACACTTTAAAGAGATCTTTTTTGCAGCAGATTTGGCCAAGGCATACATCGTTTGATTTCTTGACTACTGCTTCCATGGGCGTTGATTATAGAACCAAGTAAAGTAAAATTCTTGACAACTTCAATTTTTTCTCCATTTATGATGATATTGCTTACTGGTCCAGTTGTGGGGATTTTTGTTTTCTTTATGTTGAGGTGTAATCCATGCTGAAGGCTGTAGTCTTTGGTCCTTGTCAGTAAATACTTCAAGTCCTCTTCGCTTTCAGCAAGCAAGGTTGTGTCATCTTCATATGGCAGGTTGTTGATGAGTCTTCTCCAATCCTGATGCCACATTCTTCTTCGTATAGTCCAGCTTCTTGAATTATTTTGCTCAGCATACAGATTCAATAAATAAGGTGGAAGGATACAACCCTTATGTATACCCTTATGTATACCTTTCCTGATTTTAAACCATACAGTATCCCCTTGTTCTGTTCAAACGACTGTGTTTTGGTCTATATACAGGTTCCTCATGGGGACAGTTATGTGTTCTGGAATTCCCATTCTTTGCAGTGTTATCTGTAATTTGTTATCCACACAGTCTAATGCCTTTGCATAGTCAATGAAACACAGGTAAACATCTTTCTGATATTCTCAGCTTTCAGCCAGGATCCCTCTGACATCAGCAGTGATATACCTAGTTCCATATGCTCTTCTGAATCTGGCTTAATTTTCTGGCAGTTCCCTGACAATGTACTGCTGCAACCATTTTTAAATTATCTTCACCAAAATTTTACTTGTGTGTGATATTAATCATATTGTTTGATAACTTCCAGATTCTGCTGGATCACCTTTCTTTGGATTGGGCACACATGTGGATCTCTTCCAGTCAGTTGTCTAGGTAGCTGTCTTCCAGATTTCTTGACATAGGCCAGTGGGCACTTCCAGCGCTGCATCCATTTGTTGAAACATCTCAGTTGGTATTCTTTCAATTCCTGGAGCCTTTTTTTTCTCCAGTGCCTTCAGTGCAGCTTGGATATCTTCCTTCAATACCATTGATTCATTATCATATGCTACCTCCTGAAATGGTAGAACATCATCCACTTCTTTCTGGTACAGTGACTCTGTGTATTCCTTCTGTCCTGTTTTGATGCTTCCTGCATCATTCAGTATTTTGTCCGTAGAATCCTTCAATATTGCAGCTTGAGGTTTGAATTTTTTCTTCAGTTCTTTCAGCTTGAGATGCCAAGCATGCTCTTCCCTAGAGGTATTCTGATTAGGAATAATTTTTGTAAGTGTCTAGGAATTCTTTCTGGAAGGTATTTAAAAGCCACAATATAAGAAAAAAAATACTTAGTTGGAATTTCAGGAGTGCAAATGCTTTTCTCATTTGTTGAGGACTTTTCCAAATTGCCTTGAGATGTCAAGATCTCCAAATGGTTAAACCAATTGTGTCTGGGAACAACTGTTAGACCACCTGTTAGAGAAAGTGATGGAAGCTACTCTATTATGCTAAGTATTGGGAATGAGATGGGTGTGGGATTGTTACCATTACTATTTTACAGTTGATTTCTTTGTGAGTCTAATTAGCTTATGTCATACCTCAAAGCTCTTGTGCAATTCTAAATACAAAGATAATCAAAGGCAAGTTTTTTTCTTCCTTCCACTGTTGGCAATATAAGGCAAAGGTCAGAGGAATAATTTATTCTAGTATTTTAGTTTTAGTGTGGCCAGGACATTTTGAAGAAGAGGGTGGTAATTGCATTAAATATCTTTAAAGGGTTAAGGATATGCCATTAACCTAAACTAGAAAAAGATACAAACAAACCCATTGCCATCAAGTCTATCCCAATTCATGGTGGCCGCATGTGTTACAGAGTAGCACTGCTCCATGGAGTTTCATGGCTGTAATCTTTATGGAAGTAGATTGCTAGGCCTTTCTTCTGTGGCATCACTTGGTGGGTTTGAACCACCAACCTTTAGGTTAG